CATTTCCTTTGTTACAAAAGGTTTTCATGAGGAACTGCCTGGACAGTATGTTTGTAAAAGTCTGCATACGCCAAAAGCCCTGACGGTTTGTGTCTGTCCCTGAGGTGTTTGTAGTGCATGGTCAGTGTTTGGTGCTGCCCTCCCTGCCTTGTGATGCTTCTGTGCATAAAGGCCACTCATCATCTTCCCTGGAAGCCAGGAAGGTTGCTGCCATGGTGCTAGAATTTTGTTGAGGCTGGCTGATTGTGAAAATGACTGTCAGACAGGCTTTTGAGCTAGTGGTGCAGCCTCATGTCGCTCAGAAGCTTCAGAGTCCTTTGGAGACATCCAAGGGCCTTGTGTGAAGGTAAATTCTGCTGCACTGATTACAGGAGTTCCTGAGCTTCCTTGTGTTCTGACAGAGTCACAATCTGTCTTCTCCTGCCCTTCTGCTGTGCTGATTTATTGTAATACAGATTCAGTTTAATTGCAAGGGAGAGATAATGCTTAGGATGACTGTTGTGTCTGCTTCCCAAAAAAAGGCAGATGATCCAGCTGTCTCCTCTGCAGGAACATGGAAGCTGGCTTGTAAGCTGAGGCCCCACATAGTGTCCGTTTGCATTCCGGTGCAACTGTGTGCTTCCTTTTAACTGACTGTGGGCTGTCTTATCAAAGTATTCTTATTACTTGAGGGTTTTATACAACTACATGCTTGCTTCTTGCACCATGCACTCCTTAGTATTAGAAATAGATGTTTACAAGCTTCTACAAAAGGGAAAAAGGCTATTTTGGAGTTTGGCCCTCGTAATCTTGCAACAAAGCTGAGACTAAAAGTCTACATAAAACTGTCTGAATCCAGACAGATCTGTGGTACATAAAGCAGAAAGGTGTTGGGCACCCAGAAGTGTTCACTGTGGAACTAAGTACAGTGCCTACCTCTCAGGTTCTCTACCAAGTTTTGTGATTTAAAATTTTCAAAATATTTTATTATCATGTCTCTTTCTGTTCCAGTTGTGTATGTAAGTTTCATAATCAAGAAGAATGATAATGCATGAAAGGTGGAGTGCTGTTAAACATGAGTGAAAAAATTAGAGTGAGTCAATGTCCTCCGCCCACCCTGTGTCTGTTTTGTAATAAGGATGTAGAATATTTCTAAATAAATTGGGTTGATCATTTGTTTTGAAGAGGTGGATAACCAAGATTAAGCTGTTGAACTAAAGTCAGGCTTAAAAAAAAAATCCAGTTTTATAGTAAATTCTGGATGCCCATTTTTGCAAGTTGTGGTCATCTCTGAAGATAATTTTCAAATTCTGTTTAAGTCAGTTAAGTCTGTTTTGTTGCTTTGAAAAATTGAATAGAGGTTTCTCCTCTTGAGTCAGAATTAATTTTAGAGCATCAGACAAGCAGTGAATCAAACCAAGCTCCTAAATCTTCTAAGAGTGATTTCTAAGTGTGGTGTTTAGATGGCAAACCTGATATCTTCACTGGGGAGCTTGGTGCTATGAAACCCATCTATTAATAGACCCACGCCTAAGTACCTTTGAGGCTTTGCAGTTAGTACTGCCTTTGTCAAGCACATATTTTATCTATAATAACTTAATGATACAATTAAAACCTTACCAAATGAGAAATATTGTTTATGTTCTAGCATTTGATTTATTTAGAAAACAAGTGAAGAGATAACTGGTGGTGAAGGGGAAAAGAACAGGGAAGAAACTGAGCCAATATGTTGTTTTTCAAACTCGGCCGTTGCCCTGCCCATATGGGCAGTGGAGACAGGGAGGAGCTGGGGAGCTTCTCAAAGCTCACTGGTGTAGCTGAGCTTTCTGTGTGGGAAAATATGCCGGGTGTCAGAAGGACTAGCTACCGAGTTGCCAGTTAAAAAATAGGTTTTATGATGAAATTATGCGTGCTAAGCACACACATCAACTCCAGTGGAAACTAAACAAGGTTTTTCTACCTTGGGGGTTAAAAATCTTTATTGGGATGAACCAATTCAAACAGATCAACCTTAATCATAGTTTTCCATTTCAACAGTCTGAGAAACCTGCTTTGCTATTCTTTAATACAAGTGCTCTCTGATGTTATCAGCATCCCTTGCCTTGAAATTCACTGTATTTCCACTTTCATTCCTGGGGAGCCATTGCTCTCTGGTCCCCATTTCCTATGTGCTAAATTGAGCTCTTGTTTGTTGATAAAGTAAGGCAGCAGTTGTTGCATATTCCAACAGAATTTGCTGCTCATTCTAGCAGGAGAATGAGACTGCTTTGCTAATGCTTCCGCACTACTGATTTAAGCTTCCTGTAAACAAACAACAGATTTATATACAAGTTAGTGAAAGCATTATGGCTCTGGGGCAAATAAAGTGAACGTAGAGGCTCATTTAATGGAAATGTGTTCTCTATAATACAAAAAAAAAAGTAAATAGGACAAAACCTTATTTTTCATTAACCCCACTTTGCATGGGAGGTGCTTGGATTCAGGAAGCTAGGATGCTTAGGCCCAGAAGTTTTAATTTTTTTAAGTCTTCAGTAGTAGTGGAAATATCCTCCTGCCTTACTGACAGGATTTGGAGGCTACAGGTGGACTGACTAAGAGCATTTTAATGTTACGTGTACAGACTTCTTTTGAGCTGCTTTTACCTGTACTTGCTTTTTGTCTCTATTTCTTATGCATGTGTAGCTATACAAAATGAAAACTCTTGTTTCAGCATAGGAAAGTGCATCTCCAAAATGAGATGCTTGTTGATGTTATGATTATGAAAATTAGCTGGGGATATTTTTATCCTGGTTTAGGTATGTCATCACAGATATGTGGAATATCTTTTACTGCTGTTGAAACAGGAGCCGTAGATAATCTGAAAGTAGCCAGGATTCTGCCTTGCTAACTGTGCAAATCCAGAATAGCTAAATCCCTATTTGTTAACTACAAATAAGCAATCATCCAAGAATCTTGTCTACAAAATTAAAAATTTTCTTTAGCAATTAAAACCGAGAAGGACTGAAGGTTTTTTGCAGATACTTTGAAACTGAAAGTCAAATTGTACCACAAGTAGTCACTCATGCAGCTCTGCGAGTTTGTTGATAGGACATCAGTTTTTATTTTCTTCTGAAAGCTATAATACCCTTCAGAGGCCCCATGGAAAGTTTCACAAATGTTGCTTGGGTGGTTTTGATTTGGTAGTTTTGGCTTTGAGTTTGTTGTTGTCTTGGAAGTGGATGGCACTCTGGAAAATGTGCCTAATTCTGCCCTATGAGTCACTTTGCAGTTGGCTCTTTTGCTAGGGTGTGTATTCAGTAGTTTTAATGACAGAAATAAATTATGTGAAATGAAACTCACTGCTTAGTGGATGGTATCCAAAAGTGCTAGAGCAAAATGATTTGACTATATGTAAAAATGTTCTCAAGTTTCATCTGCATTATCCTTGGTGCACAGAGCAGCCTGTGCTTTGCTCAGAGGGCACTCAAAGCAAAACAGGTTTTGAAGAGATCTCTGAAGCATGGCTGCATAGTTCCTTAGATTTCTATACTTAGCTTCTTTTGGGGATACCAGCATAACGTAGTTCCTGTGGAAGTGTTGTCATTTGGTTGTGATAAGAGTTTGGCTCGTAACTGTCATGTTCCAGAGAACTTGGAAATAGCTGAAAATAGAGTGTCGTAAAGAAGGTCACAGTCAGAAATACCCTGAGCTTCCTGTTGTAATGATGAGGAATATCTGACACTAGCAGCAATACTACTCCACTACTGAGAGCTCCATGTTTCTGGTAACTGCTCTTTTATTTCAACGCTTAATAACACAGGCTGAACAGTGCAAGGGCTCCTAGATTGACTTTATGTAATTTTAAGTCATTGCATGACTCTATTTTCACCTTTTACAGTATGATTTGAAACTGTCAACATGGACTTTTCACGTCTACACACGTACACCCCTCCCCAATGTCTGCCAGAGAACACTGGCTATACATATGCACTCAGGTGAGAACCCTTTTCTTCTTGTAGACAAACTGTCTGTTCTCTGAATGTTGCTAATCCTTTCATGGTAAGTAGCTGACTTCTTTGAAGAAGTGGGCTTTTTCTAGTCTGGCTTGAAAACAAGTGCTATGTCCTAACTGGAGGAGAGAAGATGTTGAACTAACAGGACAATGACTAAGATAATGACTCAATGTTTATTAGTTGCTATGAGTAACTTGTGTCCGCCTAGTTACAAATGCTGTTTGATTTCTATAAATATGCCCTCAAAATTCTTCGATGTTTTGTGTCTTGTAACTTTGGTGTGTGCTTTCTTTTGTGGCCTGGGACAACTTTCACTTTTAAAAGCTGATTTTTGCGCACTCATTGCTGCTAGTATGGGACTTGGCTGGAAGTAACATACCAATTACTTCTTTTACCAAAGCTACGTGTTGGGTGAATGTAAAATCTGTGTTCTAATGAATCTTGCTTTTCCTTGTATCTTTCCCTTGTGTATCTTCTAATGATCTTGTTTTTTACTTGTATCTTTGTTTCTCTTAAATCACTTCTGTTTTCAAAAAACTAACTAGTGTTTGGTAGCTTTTGTATTATGTATGCAGAACAAGAGTTGTGGTGCCTGTTTTGAGTTTTTTAGTACTAATGTAGCAGATTGTTGCTGTTTTGATCTATTGAGCTTTTCCTGTTGTTGAGATATATACTTTCTTCAAAATGTATCAGTGAACCTGAGTTACTGTTTTTGCTAATTAAGTTTAAAATATGATTGTTCGTTAGGATCCAGTATGATATTTACTTTTCTATTCCCTCTCTGTCATTATTATGTGTTGTTATTAAAATCCGGTATAGAGATAGGAGAATTATGAGAATATTTGGCTACTTGCCAATAAAGCAGAAGTTTGCAAAACTGTAGCATTAAGAGATTACTGAGTTAATACCCTTCCTTTTGTGTGCTCCAAAACTGTAGGTTTCCATTTTCTGTTGGGGATCGTGGCTTTTTTTTTTTTTTTTTTTTAAGCTATAGCCTAATGTCAGTAGTGTTGCAAAATGTGACATGCTTTATGTTGCATCAACTGAATTGCAATTTTTCCTGAATTTTATGAAAAACTATTGGTAAAATGTCAGTTAAATACAAATGGGTTTTCCAATTTCAAGAAAAAGCTTGCCAGGCAATGAAAGGTGATCTGTGTGCCTTGTATCCAGCAGCAGTTTCACTTCTGTATTACTGAGTGGGTTTACCCACAAAAGTTACCTTTGTGTTGCAAATGTACCTTAGAGACTGGCTGAAATATTGTAACTCCTGACAGGTTAAACTCCTGTGGTATTGTCCAAAATTCTCATCCAGTGAAACAGTGGGCAAGTAGAAAGGAAAATGGAGAATGATTAATCCTATTGGACGTCTGGAGGATATTTCATTATGACATTGGTGGGGTTTATTTAGGGGACAACTGAGTATTTGTCTTGCTACATAAATGAAGACTGTTTTGCAAAACTGAGAAGCTGTGAAGGGATTATATGTCCTAAAAGTTTCTAGCTTGCCATTTCACTGTGTTAGACTATTAGGCATAGGTATTTAGAAATGGATAGAGCTGGGTACGATGAAGTTTAATAGCTGCTTTAATGAAGGCCAGTATAGTTAAACTAGGTTGAAATTAATTCATTGTAATTCTTTCTTATGTGGAAAAGGATTGGCAAGCTCTTCCTTTAAAATTGTGTGAAACCCCTAATGTTAAAATAATGGGGCAAAAAAACCTACTTGCTACACTGACATGACACTGCTTTCAGGGTGTAAGAGAGTAAACCAATCTTTTGTGCAGGTTCTTGCTGTGCCTCTGCTTTCTGCATATGTGCAGAAAGACATCTATTATTGTCGCTCTTCCTACTCTGGGTCAAACAATATTTGAAGACTGAGGAAGGGGAGAGTTGCTAATCAGAAATATTTTCATGTTAAAATTTGTTCCTTCTTACCCCTCAACTCTGTTTTGCTTATATTCTAATCTGATTTATTCTGCCTTTGACAATTCAATCTTTACAGAATCTTTTCTTTAAAGAAATTGACTTGGGATGTAGCCCTGCAGAAAGCAGTAAAGTGAAGTTTGATACCACAACGCTATTAATAGAGTTGGCTATGACTTATTAATAGAACTTACATTAATACCCACTGGAATCACTGTGTGTTCATAGCTGTAGTGCTTCTGCTTTGTGCTTCTACTCCTCCAGCCCAAATCAGAAAAACATTTAACTGATATACCTAAATAATCTTTATCCTCCTCCAAATGCAAGTCAAACTTGTGAATCTCACCCACCTGTCAACATGTAATTTACACCCCACTCTTACGACTGATCTTTCTTTTTAGTCACCATCATATTTTGAATTGTGTTGTCAGTTTGGGTGCCTTTAACACTTCTTCTGAAATATGAGTTAAATCAATAAGAATTTGGTTGAATTTTGGTTTTTTGTGTCAGAGCATTCAGTTGGGATGTAATTTTCTGCACAGTAATTTAATAAAATCCTTTGAGGTTCTTATGTATGTTCTGGGGCTCAATGAAGAAATAACTAAACAATTCAAGGTAGTGTCCTTGGTCAGTTAATGTAATGCTTCCTGGTTAGAAAGCCTGTGAGTGTTTTTGTATTGACTGTATGTCTGTCTGTCTTTGAAGATGTCTTAGTTGTAGCTTTCTAGGTGCATTGGATGTGCCTATTCCCCTGAATAGTCAAGAATATCACTGCCCGTTTCATTCCAAGGAGTATTTATAAATAAATGACACTTAAGGTATTTCAGACAAGCTATAGCATGCTAAAATTGTCAGACCTCATTCTCATTCCACTTATTTGAAAAATAACCCACTGAAGTCTAGGACATTGTTATTCTCAGAAGCTCATGTGAAGGAGGTATCAAGAGGAGGTATCAAGAAGCTGGAAATGTAAGACTAGATTCAGTCACCAGCTCTGCCAGCAGCCATGGGAGCTGTTTGCTGGTGGAAGGAGCCAGAGTCCTCACTGTTAGAAGAGATTATCCACGAGTGTAGGCTAATTGTATCCCACCTTTAGGTGTTTCTTGGTTAGCTGTATATCTTGCTTAGGAGGACATCAATGTGCAGGTTCATTTCTGGCCCTTGAAAGGAAAGGCAGTGGGTTTTTAATTTACTGTAGTATTTCCTGTAGAAGTAAAAAGGCTGCATTCCAAACCATGGAAAGTGAGATGGCAAGTTAGGGGACTTCTAGGTGCTGTCCTGCTGCCTGAGGACAGATAATGTGAAGAGAATTATTACCCTGTGTAAGTGAGAGACAAGCCCCTTTTGTTACGGAGGAAGAGTCCATGATGATTTGTTGGGTTTTTTTCAGATAGTGGAGCCCAACTTCAAGCTATTTATTCAACCCACATTGATATAAATGCTCATTGAGATACTTGGTAACAGCAAGTGTTCATAAACAGAAACAAATTGAGGCTGGTCACAGCTGTCAGCTTGTACTTTGTGTTCTCGTGAATTGAGTATCTGTAAGAAACGTGGGGTGAAGATGAGGAAAAGCAAATGCATAGTGGCAAATGTAAATAGCAAAACGGAGTTCTGAAACAACTGCTTAGGGAGGGACTCAATAGAAAACTGTTGTGGCTCTGACCCTTTCAGAATAACAGCAGGAGGAGCCACATTTAACCCATATTCTCACTTCATATCTGTCAGAGTATGAGTCATCTATACTTAGCATTTTTGGAAACTGTAAAAATTAAACTCTTTAGTCTACAATTGGTTAAGTACACGAGAAAACGTATCTTTCTTCTCCCTCTTCGAGCCAAATGAAAGCAAGGATGAACAAGCCTAATGTATTTAGTAATATATGCTGGGTTTGTTAAGTTGTGCTGGGGCTCCTGCCTTGCACAGGGTTGCACTGCACGTGCCAGCATTATCAGGGCAGACCAGTGAGAATCCAGCACACAGAACCAAAGCCCTGCCATCCAATCTGTGCTCCTTTGGGCAATAGAAGCAGCTACTTTGGACAGATTCTGCTCTGGTCTTACGGGCTGAATGCCCAGCTGGTGCTGGAGCCATGAGATGTTTTCTGGCAGTGTGTTGTCTGCGTTAGTTTTTTAGCCAAAAGAAATGCACTTGACATGCTCTGACAGCCCCATCTTACATACTTAACTTTGTGTTGAGGACCAGTGAAGACGCTGATTTCAAAAGCACCGCCTTGTCAGAATTACATCATTACTGTAAGTGTAGCTTCAAGGCCTTCTGGTGTTAACTTAATTGCATGCCAAAGCAATACAATAAATACCATATTGTTACTTTGTGATGTTCTGAGATCTTTAATGATTGTGTGAGAAAACTATTTCTGTTAAATCATTTTTACACAAATACATTTATTTTATTACTTATTATTTTATTTTATTACAGTTACTATATTATTATAGTAACTGTTTGTATGTATTTATTAAAGGGAAAGCTTCCATTTCAAATATAGGTTGCACAGTAGAATCTACTCATTCAGATCTAATTTATTTGTGTGTTTTTCTTTGGGGAGAAGGAGCTGCTGTCATAAACAATTCTTTGCTTATCTCTTCTTTTAAAAAACCAAGCAAAACCCCAGGAGTATTGGAGTGCTGATACATCTCTGTATATCCCTGTGGCCCAAGAAGGGACAGAGTCCTTATGAAAGCTGGCCTGGAGCACTTAGCATTTGGATTCTGTGGGTCACAGGGCTGAGCAGTTCTAGAACCTGACCTGCTGTACAGTGCCCTGTGCCAGCAGCCTCTGCTCACATAACTGAACGTTTCCTTTGGTTATTAGTTTGAGAATTCCGCTTTAGGCTAAACTTCAGCTTTCTTAAATGTATTTCTTACAGACTCCTCGGGTTAATATGTTTGTGTTTGCCTTGTATTGCTGCTTTGTCTTCACTAAGTTTTCATGGAGGCTCTGAGGGAATCACGTGTGGAAATGTGGAGTTCCTGGGGTAACGGTGTGAAGGTGATCTATGTGTAAACTTGCCTCTGTGGAGAAAAACAGATTGAAGTCTCTAAACATTTTTTGTTAGTTTGGAATGAAATATTTCTAATGGTTTGCATTAAATTAAGAAATGTTTTTAAACCACTTTTTAAAAGAAAACTAATTGTATTTAAACTGAAATAGATGAAGTAGGGAAGTCTTTAAGTATCTTAAAAGGAGGAAGTTCCTACTTGTTGAGAGATGGAAATTCAGAGTAATGTGGCATATGGATCTTCAATTCTCAAAACAAGGACTTGGGAAACAGAAAATCGACAAAAATAAACTTAGATTGAAAATTAATCTTTGCCTTGCAACTTGGAGTGTGTCATTTTTAATTTGTTGCTAGGCATGATGAAGAAACTGTGTCCACTCTCAAAGAAGAAACTGGTGGTGAAGAAACTGGCTTCCACTCAGATTGGTCTCAAAAGAATGAGTGCTTGCTCTGGCTAGACTTCACACGTGGTTTCCATGGTGGTTGTTTCTTTTTGTGATTTGTTTTCAGTTGTAGAACACATAATATGAATTGCTTAGCAGAACCTTGAATATCTACATATATCTATATTATTTGGGTTATTTGGTATATCTTGTGGTGATTGTGTCATAACCCTGAATAAACTGCATTTAATGGAAGCTTGGACTAGCTTGAAGAATGTTTGTTACCAGGCTGAAAATTCTCCCAGTAATTTTGCTGTTCTTATTTTACTGCAGTTCGAGTTATTCTTCATCTGCTTTGGATTTTGAGACAGAGAACAAAATAGATCCAGTGTTTGATTCACCCAGAATGTCACGGCGTAGTTTACGGTTGGCTGCTGGAGGATACAGTAAACCAGATGATGGACAGAGTGATTCCCTTCATGACAGCTCTTATGCTGGAAACATGTCCTTCAGGGATCAGTCTAAGTAAGCATCTTTAGTCATCACAAGTAAATCCTGAGTCTTACTGTTTAAACACAATAATGCAAAAAGGTTACCTACAGGTCTTATTTTTTGTTCTTGGTGCTTACTGCCATACTCTGAAATTTATGTTCAGTATGTGGTTTGCAATGACAATTTTTTACAAAAATCTTTCTAAAATTATAGGTGCTTGAAGGTGAGGACTTCCTTTTAAACCTTGTTTACTCTGTTTAGTTGAGTCAGTGTTGAAATGGCTGTTTATTCATTTTATTAATAAAGTGAGAGAGTAACAGAAATTTGTGTCTTTAGTGCTATGTCTTACTTGCCTTTGTTTCCTAGGGTGGTAAAGCAACGCAGAAGTATGAGCAAACAGTCTGGCAGTGGAAGACATGTGCCAAGGAAAAATCTGTCCAGCTCATCTATTTTTAGCCAGAGCAGTTTCAATAGCCATGCCAGTGATACATCAATGATATCTACTTTATTGGATGAATCTCTGATTCGGGAACAGACAGAAGTTGATCATTTCTGGGGTAGGCAATAATTGCTATTTGCTTGTATCAAACTGTGCAAACTATTTGGTTTGGTGTGTATAAATTTATGATCTTTGCCCCACCTGTTGTCCATCCTATTCCCAAAGATGTGTGCACTTGCACTTCTGCTGTAGGGGTCTACTTGCTAAGATGCCTACATGGTCCAGTGCATAAATTTAATTTACTGGCATGGTGAAGGTCAAGATGTTGCACAGTCAAGTTAATGTCAGCAAACATAAACACTTGTGTGATGCAATGCCATATTTATCTCCTGTCATTGCTTTCTTCAAAATGTACATTGAGTTCTGTACTTAGAGTGGTAAACATGTAACTTGTTTTTGAAAAACCAGTTTCTTGTTTATAGGCAGAAATGTGTTTCTTCTTAGCATAACTTAATGTGGAAGTTTCCAATTAGTGGCATTTCAGGATTTCCCAAAAGAGTTTTTGTGTGTGGCTGGTTGGTTTGGCTTTTTAACTATATAAAAATGTGTTTTTCTGGAGCCTTCTTTCTGCAATGAAGAGAAAATGTGAGAGTTGTCTAAATAAAGTATTGTCTATGTGAAGTATTGTGTAGAACTAGATCAGCAGTTTGTTATATCTCCCAATTCAGACTTTGTTTCCAGTTAGAATACTTGTGACCTTCCCAGAGTCCTAATGGGAAGAATTGTGACAATCTTGGTAGAACCCATTCTAAATTTTAGATAGCCTGGCTCTTAAAACAGAATTTTAAATACAGTAGCATCAAAGTAGTTACCAAGCAGCAGAAACATTGTAAGCTTGTAATTAGCTGCTTTAACATCTCATGGGAACTAAGCCAAGGTGCAGTTGGCATTCATGTGACTTTGTCTGCCCCGTCTGTGGTGGGATGATTTTCACAACTATAACCCTACTACAATAAGGTCTGTGTAGATGTTTCTCTGATGGGCTGCAAAATATGTTAAATGTTAACCATAAAGAGACTTTTCTTTGAAGTCTTAAAATTAGTGGGACTTCTAACTTGAGTTTATGTCAGATATTGCAATTCAATTTGGGTCTTTCTTATATTTGAGACCAATTTCTTTTTTCTTTTTTTTTTTTTTTGGTTTTGTTTTGTTTGCAGGCCTTGATGAAGAAGGTGACCCCAAAGGTAACTTCACTTTGCTTTTCCTCCCATGGTTTCTGTGTGACAAGCATGGTGGTGGCAGTGCTGACATGGGTGTGCTGGGTGTTGTGCTCTATGTTTCCAGGCAGTGACACCACGCTGCTGCAGGGGAACGGGGGCATAGCAGCAGCAGAGCTGCAGCCCACACTGAACGGCTACACGTGTAGTGACTGCAGCATGCTGTCAGAGAGGAAGGAGGTCCTCACTGCCTACTCAGCTTCCCATGTGCCATCCTCCAGGATCTACACTAGGGACAGGAGCCAGAAACATGCGTCTAGTAAGTTACTTTGTGTTTCATTTCTATATAGTGCTATTTGAATACCGGTCTTACCTTGAACTTGTCAGTAACTGAATTCTAGATACCACCTTATATGACATACCTTTTTCTGTATCAGCTGAAATTTCATGTGCTTGTCAGATTCTGATATATAATAATCTACTGATTTTCAGTGCTGTTATGGGAATCAAACAATTACAAAACTAAAATGCTCTAGTATCTTAAGTTATAAAATTATTTGGCCAGCCAGCACTGACTGTAAGTCTCCTAATCTGACATCAGATCTGCGTGGCTCTGCCTTTGAAGTATTTGGTCATACAAATTTTCATACATATTTTCAGATATGGGCTTTCATTTATAATTTTTTTTATTCCTTACATGATTTGAACTTTGAAGATTGAGCAAAATTGTTACTTCACAGTGCTTGTGCTATTGAGGGAATCTTTGAGAAGGCTTTCTACTTCCTGCTTCCGTTTTTTCTCCTCTTTTAACTTTGCAGCTTTTTATAGTGTTTCTAAAAGCTAAACCTCAACTACATGAAAAATTGAACTCCAAAGGGAAAAACTCCAAATAGTCACTTGAGTGACTACATTCCAAAAACTTAAAAAACTGAGTCTGTATAAATAAGACTCTGCCTTTCCAAGACAATCTCCATTCAGTGGATTGTTTTCCTCATTGTCTTGCCTGTGTCTGCCTGCCTCTTTCACCTGGATTTCTTGGTCACTGGTAGTCCTCAGTTACCACAAAGGATTTGTTTTTTAATGACCTGGAATTGCAAAGGAGCCAATTTAGTATTCTGTAGGTTTGTTAGTCTTGAATGAAGTTTGTTTTCAGTAGAAGGAAATTCATTTGTTTAAGCTATATGATGTGACTTCAAATACTTAAGTATTTCCTTTTAGTTAGTGTGTAGCACAGGGTGGAATTCTTTTGACTTGAATAGTCAACTACTTAAAGTGGCACTGCATGAAAACTTTCTGTTCTCCTGAGTTTGTATTCACACAAGAGAATTTTCTTCATCTTTGTACATTATTTTTAACTTGAGTCTAGAGGTTTGAGTCAAACTCTGGGGGTGTGTGGGTGGGGAAGGGCCCACACTGTCATGGCAGATTTTTGGGATGTGGCTGAGTCTAGGACAGTGGCAGTGGTAGATTTTGTCTTTGTTCCTGTGGCGCTGCAGAAGGGTGTGTCTCTAGCACTTCAGGCAGACCACTGTAGGAACTTCCTCTGATGTAACAGCAAGGAAGATGGTGAGCAGTCCTCACTCCTTCAGATCCAGAATAACACTGTAGTGTCTTTGGAACTGTGACCCCAAAATCAGGATCAGCAGTCCACATCAGTGAGGAATCCTGAGTTTCATAAGCAGGGAATTCATTTCTCTTCAGAGTTCTAGATTCTCACTAAGCCAAGCTGTTCTTGCTGAAGTTACACATTTTACCTTGAAGTCATTACCCAGGGTGTGTAGTTCTTACAAAAGCTTTGATGCAATATCTAATACATACAGACTTTTCAAACCACGCTTTCTGAAGTTTCATACTCTTAGCTAAACAAAAGCTTTCTCTGCTTTGTCCTCACTCCTACACAAGCTAATGGTGACCAGAGAACAGAAGTACATATTTTTATGGATGAATAATTTGTATTCACATTGTTTTTTTTCACTAGGAGGAACATATTTCTACATGAGTAAGATTCTACGATTGGTCAAAAATACTGCAGCATCTTTTGCATCACTATTAGTCCATCTATTTCAAATGGTTTTGCTGAAGCTGGGTTATGAATATAAAGGTACCTTTTCAGTTGTCTTCCTTGGTCTTCAAGCAAAGACAGAGTGTGTGTATTTGGTTTTTTTTCTTATGGACTTCATCTTTGATGCTATGGTATTCTTCTATAGTCTTTTGGCTGGCTCCTATCTTTCTCAGTTTTTACTCTTACCTCACTTCTGCTGCACTTCTCATACCTTTCCTCTGCTTTGAAAGTATCAAGATTCCTTTATATGAGATCCACATGTTGATTTTACTAGAAGTGGTAGAGAGTAATTTTTGAATTGGGAAACTTAAGTTGATTTTTAAAAACTCTGGTAATAGGGTCAAATTCTAATTTTTCAATGTCTTTAGGTCTCTTGCCACCCTTAAACCTGCTGCACACTTAAAGCTTGTTTAGATCTGTCTTGCAAAATTCAAACTGCTCTCATCACTCTGCACTACTTTTAAACCACATCTTGTTTTCCCTGAAAACATTCATTTCTTCTTTGGTGCTTTCTCTTCTATAATACCTGATCTACAAGTGAAGTTAAATTGCCATAGGCAGAAGATAACTGATTTTTGCATGTGAGTAGAACTTTGCTCTCCTCTTCCTCTCTGCTCAGAGCCTTATAATTGCTCATGCTTTCTTCTCCTTCTTGTAACAAGATTGTTAAAATCAACACAAACATATAATGAATGGCTGACCCATTTGATGGAATGTTGCGAACAGGGATTTATTTGATAAGGGTTGGTTGGGTTGTTTGTTGGGTTTTTTTTTACAAACTTTTCTATCTGAAAAGAAGCAGAAGGATTTTTTTTAACTAAGAGGCCCCCTGATATTTAAAGAAGAACAAGATTACACAGAGCAGGCTTCTTCCTCAATCAGTTTTTAGTTTTCCTTTTGAGTAGTCTGACTTTAATAGTGAAACAAGTTAAAATCTGTATATATGAAAGGTTTTGAACTGGAGAATTAGAAGCCATGTGTGATTTTTGGATGTGTTGCAGCTCACTCAGACTACTGTGGAAGCATGAATGTAAAGGAGTTCTACAGAGAAGATCGTCATCTTGGTGTGAATGAGGAATCAATATGTAAGTACAGTGATGGGTGTAGTCTCAGTCCTGGGCTCTACACCAGGTTGTTGCTGTAATAGTAGTATCAGACAGCCCCCCCCAACAGTGTAGAAGCTACGAAGTAAATATTTGGTTTGCAACTTAAATGTGGAGGGGATGGTGATCCCCTGGTGTACTGTAGTATTTATTTCCTTCAGCAAGCTTCCTTCCCCTGAAGTTTGCTTAGCAGCTTTTGGGCTGATAACTGATGATGTGAGAACTTGAACAAGTTATCTTGTAACAGTCTTGACTTGATCCTGGCTTTATCCCATTAATCAACTGTTACCACAATCAACAGGTGATGACTGTAAAGGGAAGAAACATCTTGAAATACACACCACAGACCACATGCAGTCCTCATGGGCTAAAAGGGTAGCAAGGACCATTTGGCACACCTTTTCTTCTGCAGGTTGACTTGGACATTTTTGTTTGCTTTTATTTTGCATTGCAAACTCACAATGTTAATCACACGTTTTGTGTTTGGGGTTTTTCTCCTTGCTTTATCTATCAAAGTAGGGCAAAAATGTAAAGTGTCTAGACAACTAACTTCCTTAACACCTCTTCTGTCTGAATTCTTGTTCTGATTTTGGCTTTTTTATGAGCTTGGCAGGCTGCTTATCTATTAGTGAAAACAAGGTGCAGGGTAATAGGCACCTCATGTTAGAAGGAACAAGTCAGATTGTTAATTTATTGCATTTTGGGGAGATCTGTACTTTGCTTGCTTGAAAAGCTGACTTTACATGAAAGCAAGGTATGAGATACTGGTACGCAGATTATTTGAATAAAGGGGTTTTAACATTTTATTTTTGTTCTAGTGATAGTCAATTTTTACAGGAATCTTATATAGGGATAGAATCTACCCTGTGAGATGAGCGTTCCCTAGCTTGAATGACAGAGGCATCAAGGATCTGTTGAGTGCTCTTTATTCAGCAAAGGAAAATGATTTACAAAAATTGGGTTGGTATATCTATAATCCCTCAGATTAACCCAGACATATCTGCTAATCTAAAAATGTAGGATTACTTTCTAAACATATATGGTGTAGTTTGTTCTGTAGAAAGATTGGTCCTAGTCTTGGACATAGTAATTGTTGGCCTCAGCAGGCTTTAAGTTACAGCATTTTATTACAGTTTTTTTGGAATGGGGAGTTGGTGGTGGTAGTTTTGTTCTCTTTAAGAGATACAAAACTATCCTGCTGAACATCCTTGGGAACACTCAGCTTAATGAAAATTTACTGCTTGTAACCTTTAGGTGGGAATACTTTCTATTATTTATCAATATTTCTTAGACATCACTGGAATTTTAAATTTTTAATTGTTCTCGCTTCTGTGAGAGTAACCCAGATAATGAACTTTGTGTATAATTCTGAACAAACAAGATGCTTTTAAAGTAATGATGTGCTTAAAGCTTGTTTTTGTGGTAGTACTCTTCCTAGTCTCTGCTACACTTTGCATGGCATTGTTAGATAAACGTTACAAAATGTAAACTTTGATTTTGGAAAAGTGATATTCTAACTGCACAGTTGGTGTTCAGTCTGTTTATCTCGGTCTGTGAGAATTCAGTTTCTAAACTGTCTTGGTTTTACTTGACTACATATTTATTAGTGGCTTGCTTTGCTTTAAAGTAGTGAAGAACCAAGTTGGAGTTTACTGAAAGGTACGGTTTAAAATTCTGCAGAACATGTAGTGGGCAAGGGGGTCTGTTTTACTGCATGTACTGAAGAGAACCTTCAGCTCCTTCGTGACTGTTACCACATGGAGTTAATTTGTTATAATCCAGGTTACTTTATGCTTCACGTGTTGCGAACAGTGGGAGCCACGGGATGGTTTGTGTCGGAGAAGGTGTTGTCTCTACTCTGGCTGGCCATTCTTTCTCCAGGTTACTATTCTAATCTGTGTGTGTGTGTGTGCATTGCCTGTTCTCTTCGGCAAACGAGGGGACAGCAGGGGCTTATCCTAATTCAGCTGTGCTTGTGCTCTAGCTTTTGTCCTGAAACGCATGTGTTACTTTATTGACCAAAATGCGCTTAATGAGAGGCTGTATTTCTGTTCACAGGCATTACAGGAGACTAACCAGACTGTTTCATGAGGGAATGAGTGTGTAAATAGCCCTGAATATGGGGTGTCTAGAATAATAGGGTGTGTTTGGTTTGGCAGTCACTTACTATATTTTTATTCCTCTTACCAAAAACTGCTGCTGCTAATCTGTGTTTCCTGGAGCATACTGAGGCCTCCAGTGTGTGATAACTTGTGTTCAGACATTAATACTGAATTTCCAGTGAGGTAGCATTGTCATAACAAACGAGCACTTCATCTCTTTGCATGGCTGTTGACCTTGTTGAATAGCTGATGTTACAGTGCTGTCGTATTTGTGATATCTAGATGTCAATAAGCTGCATGCATTGCCTTATCCATGCATTTCTCCACTCTGCAAAGCATTGTTGGCCACAGCTGCATGTCCTTCTGCTTGGTTTCTTTGAACATGTGCTGCAATAATTACATTTCACACTCCCACCTTTTGTCTTCTAGGGAGGGCAGCTTCTGGCATGTTCAGATTGCTTAGAACTGGGTGGTATCAACTTGTTACTCTGATGTCTTTGCTCAAGGTGTTTCTTGTAAGAAGGTGTGTATCCTTTGAAATAATTGTTTTGTGAGCAAGTTATTTACCCAGTTATAATATAAAACTATTAATTGTGGTAAATACGTTCTTTCTTGTAAACTTTCCTCTCTTTTTCTAGGTGCTTTCCAAAGAACTACAGATGGTTACTGTTTCTTATCCCACTCCTGTTTCTACTAGGTATGTCAGTTGTTTACTTATGATGCAAATCAGTGTGTGTACTATAGCTGCTCCAAAATAGCCTTTTGAGTTGATTTTTGAAGAAGATGCAGAACTAAAAAGATCAAGTTTGTTTGCGAACAGGGTAGTAATTCAAGCTCCCAGAGTACTGTCAAGTCAGCAAGCTTTCCCCTTGTCATGAAAGCAATATCCTTGATTTAATTGCATAGAGCTCTTTAGAAAGAGTAGCCGAGGAAGTAAATGCACTAAAGTCCATTTTTCTTTACCTCCTCTTCATAAGAGTAGCAATTAAAGAGTAGGCTGGGTACTGATGGCTTTGTCAGTCCCCATAGAAGTGTGATTAAGATTTTACCAACTGATCCAAAGTCTTTTCTTTGCTCCAGAGCATGTTTTAGTTGCTTAAGATACTACTTTAGAGTGGTTAGTAGACAGTGTTCCAGGCCAGCTGTCAACTTTGAAGTGAAGCAAATTGAAGTATTTACCAGAAGTGCTGGGCCATTTCTGAAAAGCAGTTTCATGTCTTTGTGAGTCTTAAAACCTTGCAGCTATTTTGTGGAGAATATGAAGCTTCTTGGAAACTTAGAGTGGGGATTCAGAGTCCTCTGTACAAGGGTGAAAAAGGAAAGAATTTACCCTGTGTAGACAATGCTGCTGCTTCCCACTAAGATATTGCAAAAATAAGTCAAATCTTGTGAAATGCTATTTTATTTCCATGAAAGCCTAGGTTTCCTCCAACTTTTATTAGCTCTTGCGCAATGTGATATGTAGTAAGTGTTTAATGTAACATATTTTCCATGGAGAAAAAAACAGCATTTACATTTGCCTTCAGGAAACGTTGCCTGTCTTAATCAGCAAATGTTACCAAGGTCCAGGGAAGCAGTAGTATGAGTCTAGGCTTGTACCATGATATATGTAAGTGCAAGTTGCCTTCCTCACAATGGTGTGAGTGTTAGGATGGCTGTTCCCTAATATTCTTGAGTGCTTGATTGAAAAATTTTAAAGCTGACTTGTGGTGATTTTTGTTTAGACTGGAGCATTGTCCATTGTGTGGCACTTGCCTTGCAAACTGAAGATAGCTGTGTCCTTAAAAAGACTATTTGTAGATATCAGCAGTTGGAAGGGAGAATTCTTTTGAACACATGTTGCTTTTTTGTTTCTGTTTTAGGTTTGTGGTTCTGGGGGCTTAATAGTTTCATTTCATTATTACCTCCATTAAACTGGACAAAAATTGACAGAATACAGAGAACAGATGATTCTGTTCATGTTCCTGAACCACAAGATGATTCTTTTCATTCTGTGCAACCTCCAAAGGTAAGGGAAGACAGTTTAGGGAAGAACTTTTAAGTATAAGTGTATATTTTAAGTCCTCTTAACTCCCATGTCTTCAATATTTTGCAATAACTATTTGCTGAACAAGAATAAGGTAAATAAGTTGATTTTTACGTATTAAGACATCATCTTTATACTTTAGGATACCATAAATATCTTTGACTTTGGTCGCATAAGTGAGCTGGAAAAGCAAATGGCCTTCATGTCCGACAGATGCCATGACCGAAACAAAGAGTATAACAAGGTGATGAGCCTGCTTCAGAATCTTCAAGATCAGGTTGCCACAATGAGTGACAGAAGTGAAACATTGAATTTAATAAAAAATGTGATGACTCAATATCTTAAAGATATGAAATTGGAGGAAAAGGTAAGACAGTCGGTTATTGATGTTTCCTGATACTGATAGGAATGTTGTGTTTTACTGATGTGGATTGTGTGCAATTTGACTGGAGGATTATTTTTCTGCTCTAGAAATAACCGATAGGTAGTACGGGCCATGGAGAAGTTGTGGGCATTTGTTCCTCCTTTGTTATTGCTGACAATAACAACAATTGCTGACAATAAAGGATTAATTCCAGAGAGGTGGCCTAAAGTAGATTCCAGCATTGCTGAAAAGCTGTTTGATTTATCCTGTTTCCATACAGATAAAGAAGACTATAGGAAGGACTAGTGAAAAAGCAGGGATTTAGTGATAAACTTCCCTGTATGTAGTCCCTACTACAGCTAAATCAGACTTCTGTATTTATTACAGATTCTGTAATTTCTCACACTACCTGCAGGATAAATCACTTAAACATTCACAGAATGGAAAGAAAAGTACACTGGGCAGAAAATATCAATTATGGTATTTGTACTCCAAAAGAAAATACACCCCCTTTTTCTTCCCTCTTTTAAGACTGACTTCCTGGCTTTACATAAAGAACATGAGTTGCGCATCCAGACGCTGGAAGACCTTCTTAGAAAACTCGCAGCTGAATCCAAGGTATTGACAGTGAGCTTTGCTGACTTGTTCTATTTGTAACCTCTTGATAAAACATACTGAGTTTTTTTATTTGCTGTTCCAAACAGCAGTTTCCTTTACTCTGGCTATTACAGTTCCCTAAGTCTCAAAACTTGTTTGTGTTTTTGCTCCCTTTTCTTGGAGAGGGTTTCATTCCAAAGTTTAAAAATTATTCCCTTGACCACTGAGACAGGTTCTATTTGGAATGAAACTTTAATATACAGAGGCACAAACATAATTGTGAGCACAATCCCATACAGGTGGTGCTAAAATTTATTTTCATGTAACTTTCTTTATCCTTTTTCTGTTACTTGAGTTTCTTTGTGTATGTTAAAACTTAACTTTTGTATTTTTTAGGACATCCAGAAGGAGTTCAACCTAGCCAAATCAAAATCAGTGAGGTATAAGCACTTTTCAAATATATTTTGCATTTTCACTCCTGATGCCAACTGACAGTGATGCTTATCTTGTGTCAGTTAACTGACCCTGAGAGGTTCTATTGTCAGCAGAAACACTTCTGTCTTGTACTGGATTTCATCTGTGATGCTGAACATCAGCACAGGACCCTCCTCCAATGTGGGGGCAACCCTACAACTGCACTTTCATTAGAAAAAAACTATTTATATAATGGAGGAGAATGAGGGACTTCTCATCCTCCTATACATGCATTTGTTTTCCTTAAGATCATTTAGTGAAATATACAGTAACTACTTTTGATGGGCTTTTATTAAAATTTATGGGTTTTTATTTAAATTTTTGAACTATATAAATTCTAATTTTTGTCTCTTGTTTTTTGGCTTATTTGCTGAATTTCCATTTCAATTAGAATTAAATGTGAAATGACTTTAGAATGATGGTTGAGACTTTTTTCCATAGCATTCACTGGACACTGATCTATGTTGGTCATATATGAGCTGCTGTTTGTAACTCAGCACTGCCACTGGAGTTACTCTGGTTTGAGTGAGGTAGCCTGAGGCTCACTCAAACCTGTGGCAAACTCACACAAAGTTTGTCTGGTTTGCCAGAAGCCCTTAAATTCCCCAAAATCTATTAATTGACTCGTCAGTCTGATGATAATCTGAAGTCATCACTGCTGGATTTTTCCATTACTTCAAAATACTTTCCTTTGAGTATATTAGTTCTGAGTATGCCTTAAGTAACAACATGTTACAACTGTGAGTTCACTGTGTGTGTTGTGATGAGCAATTAACTAGGAGAGCACTTTTTGTTATACAAGTATATTCTCACACCTTTGGAATTTGATGGGATGATTCCAGCTACTCTTTCCTAATGATTGATTTCTTGTTTTTGTCAGAGATGATGATCAATACAGTCTCCTTATGTCCAAAATTAAAAAGCTAGAACTAGATCTGGCTTATATGAAATCGGAGCTGTTACCTGGGGAAAGTGTGAAGACAAGTTGTGAGAAAATGGATGTCATTCATGAAAAAGTAGGTTCTGCAGCTTCTCTAACTCTCCCAGTAAAATTTGATATTACTTGGTTTTGTTCACTATCTTGAAATGCACTGAAATCGGTTACCTGGGGGTAGTATTAACCTTAAAGAGTGACAGTGTTTTATGTAGGGTTACTGTGAATTTTTCCATTAGTGCATAACACTTTACTAGAGAGGAGTTTATTGCTTGTTTTCTATAATGGCAGGGGTTTGCTTGTAAGTTATGATGTAGTGGCAGTTCTCTGTACAGTACTTTGTTGATGTATTTTGCTAACCCATGGAAATATGGAAAAGAAACTTGTGTAAAAGCAAGTTAGGTTTGTTATCTGAACATTATTTCTAAAAAATCCTGCCTAAGTTCTTTTGAAGCCTTTTAAAAGTTCTGACTGGAATGTAGTCAACCAAAGAACAATAAATATTGATGGATTATCAACTTTTACTTAAATAATGACTAGTGATAATGGTCTAGCTATGTGTCTGTTGTATATTTTTATGCATATTTATAAAAACTAATAATTATAATTATTAATGTCTTCTACTAGGTAGATGCCCAGGTCAAAGAATCCGTCAAGCTAATGCTTTTTGGTGATCAACAAGAAGACTTCCCTGATTCACTTCTCCAGTGGCTTACCTCCAATTTTGTTAGCAAAAGTGATCTACAGACTTTGCTGCGGGATCTTGAGTTGCAGATCCTCAAGAATATTACACTCCATATGTCTGTAACAAACCAAAAAGTAACATCTGAAGTAGTTACAAATGCTGTGACTAATGCAGGGATTTCTGGAATCACAGAAGCGGTGAGTTTAAAATCTCAAAAGTTCAACTAAAACTGGAAAGAGTTTGTTCATGGGCATTTTGAGGAGCATGACTGCCGACATAAATGTTAATGCATTTAGGAGATGTGAGAAGCATCAGTTGAAATGAGGAGAACTGCAGAAAATTGAGTGTATTCTTGCAGCATTGATTTTTGCCTGTTGTGCAACAACAGTGCTGTTTGCATTTTTGCAAATTGTTCTATCTAGAAAATTGAATTCCCAAGAAACAAATATACCAAAGAAATTCAGCTCAGGGTCTTGGGAAGAAGGAATGCTGAGTTAAAAAAACCAGCAGTCAAGATGCAGTATGAGCTTGTATTTTGAACAACCATGCATTAAAAGTGGCCCCTTTCTTGACAGAGGCTTTCAAAGACTTGTGATGAAGTGCAGCATATCAAAAAGATACTTCCAACTTCACAGATACGTAAATATCAATTATTTTATCACTTGATCTTATTAAAATATTTTCCTTCCATTCTCTTGCATATGTACACCTCTAGCAAGCACAGATTATTGTAAATAACGCACTGAAACTCTACTCTCAAGACAAGACTGGGATGGTGGATTTTGCCTTGGAATCTGGAGGTAAATAGTAGAGGAAACACCACTTTTTACTATTCATGCTTTTAGTAGTGTTTACTAGAAATATTAAAATGAAGAGCAAAGGTTAGAGCATTACTGTGTGCTGCATGATGATCAGATTGCAACAATCTGTGATGGTGTTTACAGGCCTGTACATCGGTCTAGGTGTGCATGGACAGGAATAGAATAGTTCTCAACATGTCTACAACTGGATAAGAAAGAAATGAAAAACCTTTAACTTGATCTTAAAATAACATTGTAGGTGATAGAAGCATTGTATCTGCAGAAAAATATTAGATCTTAACAATATCTTTAATCTGGTATTCATTAAGCTTTATATGAATCTCTGCCTTAATTACTCATTCCTTCTTGAAGACTTTTATTTCTGCTAACCTGACCTATCTTTTTTGAGGTGGCAGCGTTCTGAGTACTCGCTGTTCTGAAACCTATGAGACCAAGACAGCATTAATTAGCCTCTTTGGAATTCCTCTGTGGTACTTCTCCCAGTCTCCCAGAGTGGTGATTCAGGTAATTAAAGGGCAAGTAAACAAATATAGCAATTTTATTTTGTTTTGAGTGTTTTGGATGGCTCTTTGGGTGTATCTCTGTAATATATTGGGGGCACAGGTACTTTGAGCTAAGTTCCCAAGAGTGAGATTCTTCTGGCAGTCCCTGAACACAGCTTAAGTCCTACTCTAGTAAACTTGAGACTCAAGGGAAGCTTGGATGGTGCATTGGACTTATGCAAAGTGTGAGGGCTGGGAGGGTTCCTGTTGAGAACTAATCTCAAGGTAGGTCTTCAAAACACCAGTAGCTTGGGTGGGTGTGGTGTCTTTCTGAAAAGGTCCACCAGGGAGATTATTTCTGCCCCTTACTGTTTAGCACCGTCCCTAAGAACTCGGAATTCATTACAACTCTTTATTACAATAAAAATAAATTAGAAAACACTAACATTGTTTTATGTTGTGTCCCATCTTGTTCTCTTCACCTTCCTTCTGTGCAGCCGGACATGTATCCAGGAAACTGCTGGGCTTTCAAAGGATCACAAGGCTATCTTGTGGTGAGACTTTCCATGAAGATCTATCCAACTGCCTTTACATTGGAACACATACCAAAAACTCTTTCACCAACAGGAAATATCACCAGTGCTCCTAGGAATTTTTCAGTATATGTAAGTCTGTCCCTGAATTTAAGTTGATGTTTGTTTGTATACAGAAAGAATATTTGTGTTCCATACCTTGGAAAATAGTAACTTGAGGGAGGACAGCTAAGAGAAAGAAAATGATAAATTGTTTCACTCATTGCTCTTAGAATTTGTTTTTATTTATGAGCTTTGAGGTTATGAATAAAGAAGCATTGCAACTAATTTTGGGCAAGTTATTCTTTATTCTTGCTTTATGCAGTAGTTTACACTTTTGGAGGGAGATAATGGTTTTTCATTTGATCTAGTTCTTTCATACACTTTGTTTCATCCTCCTTCCCATTCTTCCTCTCTCCACCCACTATCCCTCCCATTTTGTCTCTGCATCTTGTCTGTGATGTGCCTTAAAGAATTTTTTAATCCATTTTACCCAGCACCACAGTTGTGTAGGCAGGATTTCAGAACAGAACAGACCACAGAGTGTATCAGAGAGTGGTTATGACATTTGAGAACTTTGTCAAGATTTTCTAAATGCTACAGCAGTCACCTGCAATCATCTAAATCTTGACTTCAGCCTTGATGTTCTCTCATTTGTCCTGAGCAGTTTATATTGTACACTGATATGGGTTTAGCCATGGAAATTAAAGGGTTTGACCATGAAAGCACATAAACAGCACAACTATTTACAAGGCAGGAAACTGGAATACAGAGCTGTGCTTGAACTTTAAATTACATGGGAAACATTCTGATCCTGGCTTGATAGACCTTCAAGTGCTGTCACTTGATACTGTGTGTGTAGGCATGCTTCTAGTTCGGGTTTGATTGGAAATTTGATTGAAGCAAAAATCTTTATCCTGTTGTTATAGGGTCTGGATGATGAATATCAAGAAGAAGGCAAGCTTCTAGGAGAGTATGTCTATGATCAAGATGGAGAACCACTGCAGATGTTTCCAGTGATAGTAAGTCTAGATTATAAGATTTAAAGTGTTAGGAGAAAGTTACTTTTGTTTTCTACACTTGTATGCAATGAACAGTGAAGGGAAAAGGCCTTATTCTCACCTGGGCACTCTAGGAGCTGAGGTAAAAAGTATATACCTCTGCCTCAAAACCTATGGCCTAAATAGAAGAGAAGGGAGGAAGGTTTGTTGCTATGTGGATACAAATAGTGGGAAGTTGCTAAACATGGGAAGAGTCTATTGCTGCTTCAGACTCACAAATAATTATAAGGCAAGGAAGGTTCTGTTCAAAGGAACAGAAAATTCGCAAGGTATAACTTGGGTTCCTGCAAATACCAATAGTCATTAATAACTAAGAAAGCTGCAGCTGTTGATGCCAGAGCTCTGACACTGGTTTGTCTGTTTGCATTTTCCTTCTCCAGGAGAAAAATGAAGACGCATTCCAAATAGTGGAGCTGAGGATTTTCTCTAACTGGGGCCATGCAGAGTACACCTGCCTTTATCGGTTCAGAGTGCATGGGAAACCTGCCGAGTAATCCACACTACAGCTGGGGGTGGCTGCTTTGTACATTTTGTTCCTAATCTGTATATACTGGGAAGCCTACAACACTGGAATCTGTAAAGGACGAGGATGCAAGATGCACACTGCAGAACTATTGATCCTCTGATAAAGGCAGAAGACTGTCAGCAGAAATGTATAAACCCCAATTTTTATTTGCTCTAAGGCTCAGCTTGTAATTGCCAGTTTGCTTCATATTTCTGTGTCCATGCTGAGAGAAATAATGCATGCAAACAGCTCTGGTTCGTAAAGCCCAGTTGGCAAACAGGTGATACATATTTTATTACAAATGAATGTATAGGTTTTTTTTAAAGAATAAACCACACTTTCTGCAACTAGGAATCTGTTCTTTTTTATCCAGGACTTAACTGCTAGCTTGGCACCATAAGCCAAAAACTGTGGTACATTTTGAACTCTGACTGTGGCTAAAGGTGTCTTTCAGTTGACAGTTGGTTTTGACCTTTTTGGTGGCTCCAAAAGGGCTTCTTTGCTACATGTTGAATATAATAAATACTACTGTCAGGGAAAGCTAACACAACCAAAACCAGTTTAAACACCAGCGACTGAGAATGCTTTACTGTAATTTGTGGCTGCAAATTGCTCTAAAAGTCAGGGATAACTTTAAGTAACAAGTTATTTTAAGGGTTTTTACCATGGCAACTTGGCCAGTTTGTTCTTTTTTTAGTGTCAATCCCAAATCGACCTTGATGTACTGACTGACTGGCTCGGAGCTGATAAGCCTGCTGAATTGCTCAGTAAACACTGCTGTACAGCAGTTGAACTACCTTAGTTTGGCAAAAGTGATCTCTTTGGGACAAGATTTCCTTAGACTGGTTGATTGTTATACTCCATAAATGTACTGTGAGAATTCAGTGTGTGGAGAACAAGCCTGAAGGAATTCTTGCTGCGTCACATTTACAAGAGGGACTCAAGCTCAGCGCTGCTGTGTGCAAACACGGGCATTCCTGATCCTCCCCACCAGCCTTAGTCGGGTACCAGATGAGTAGAGTTGCTCTTGGAGACAACATTTCCACGTAGAACAAGATGAAACTGCTTATTCCCCCCCTTAGCCTTGCTGTTTTGAAGATCCTTTTCAGAAAAGATTCCTGAAATTCACTTGTATGCAGAATTTTTATCTTGCTGTTCTAGTGCATTTTGTAGTTACACAGAACTGTTACCACATGGACCTGCTGACTGGTTTTCTGAATTGAGTTATGTATGTTGCACAACAGTCCTCGAATGTTTGAAATACAAAAAGTCTCCATGTGAAGAACTGTTTTTCACTCGTCCTAGAGACAGAACCTATGGCCTACGCAGAGGAGTAGATGACACTGTACAGGTGTTTTCATATTATAGGTTACATATTTAAAATTAGAATTATCCTGTATAAATTGAAATTAGGTAGCTGGGGGGGGAATATTTTGAATAACACTAACTTATTTTTAAAAAAGCAAGATAGGACTTTGTGCAATGTATTTTTGTAAATGCTTTTCAAAATGTCTGTTATTCTTTGCTGCCTCCAAACTGACAAGATGCTATTGAGATGTTTAAATAAAGAGTTTTAATTTTTGAAGGTGCATGTAATACTTGAAACAAGAAATAAAGCCTCTTTTCTGCATTTTTTTTTTTTAAACCAGCTGCTTAAATAAGTGAGGAAACATTGTGATTTCAACATTGGCCTGAGCTGGGGCCGGGGGGTGGATTTCGCTCAGGTTTTTACAAAGAGCAGGGTCACAAAGCTTTAAAGGGCAGGTCCAGAAGCAGCGTGTGGCTGGTAGATAAAGATCAGAGCTGGAGATTTGGGAAAAAAGTGCAGCTTTTTTTATTTGGGAAAAAAGTGCTTCCTTGCTGGCTGACTTTCAGCTGTGTGAAGGGCGGGGGGGGGCTTGGTTTAACTCCTGTTTCTGAGCCTTGCCTAGATCCCTGAGCCAGAGCAGTCCTTACCCAGTCTGATTACCGGCGCTCCATCAATCATTCCTTGATTTTTGTTACTTTTTAACATTACTCTGCAGTTTCCTGCTCTGTTGTGCGCTCCAGGGCCGGTCGTGCACCGCTCGAATCCCGGGGGTTCCTCTCACGCTGCCGTTACCGCTGGGGAGCCGCGCGCAGCCGCGCGGGCTGAGCCTCGCGGGCCGCCGTCCGAACGGGCGGAAGCCGGGCAGCGGGGCGCCGGGGCTGCGTGCGCATGCGCCCGGCCCCCGCCTCCCCTCCCCGTCCTCCGCGCTGATGGCGGCGGCGATCATGGCGGCGGAGCAGGAAGCCGCGAAAGGCGGCGGCGGCAGGAACCGCGGCGGCGTGCAGCGCGTGGAGGGCAAGCTGCGCGCCAGCGTCGAGAAGGGCGACTACTACGAGGCGCACCAGATGTACCGGACGCTCTTTTTCAGGTAGGGCCGCGCCGGGCCCGCCGCGCCGCCCCTCCCCCGCCCGGCCTTCCAGAGCCTTCCCACGCACTCTCCCCCGCTGCCGCCCGCCGCGCCCACGGCCGGTTCCCATTGGCCGGCGCGCCTGTCCATCTCCGCGTCCCGCTCCCTGATTGGTCCGCAGGGGGGCGGGGTGGGGCGGGTGCGCGGCCGAGGAGCGGCGGCCCCGGGTTCGGCCCGGCTCGGCCGCGTCACCTTCCCCGGCCCCGCCGGCTCAGTCAGCGCCTCGGGCGAGCGGTGGAGCCGCTGCTCGCCGGCCTTTGGAGGCCAGCCCCGCGCCCGGCCCGGTCCGTGCCCCGCCGGCCCGGCCACTGTCCGGTGACGCGCGGGGGGTGTTGCGTCACGGTGCCCAGAGGTCACGGGCAGAGCGGAGTTTCGGTCCCCCGTCCCCCAACGCCTCTCGGTGGCCCCACGTTCTCTGGAGGCAGAGTGAAGCCTCCCGAACAGCGGGATGAACTCGGCTTGTCTCCCCTGGCGCTCGGGCCGGGGCTCGCCCCGTGTCCCGGGGCCGTGCTGGAGCTGAGCCCCGCACAGGCGCTGCTCTGCCAGCTCGGTGTGAATGTCAGGTGCCGCGCAGTGACGGATTCGGGGTTTGAAGGTTGATTGTTGCCCAGCCGGGACATAGGGCTACTTTGTTGCACGGCACGGTCACCCTGGTGGAGGGTCCGAAAGAGGCAACTCTCAGATTGGCCAGGATCGCCTGCACGGAGGAGCTTTTTTGGAATAAATTCCACTTGGTGTAGTATTTGTGTACGTGACAGTGATTAAGTAGAGTAGGCCTGGGCATTTGTTCAGAAGTGTTACTACTGTCTCTTTTGTCATTAGGAAATTGTTTTTATTGCAAAGCATTTTTAGGCTTAGTTTTTCATGTCCACTGCAACTTGCAGGGGTCACCCTTTCTCTCATCCCTTGCTTGCAGGAGCACAGAAGAAGGTGTTTGTTGTAGGGGATTCCTCAGTTGGTCCCAGCTTTATTTACTTGTGGTTCTGCTGGGAGAGGACAGGATGGAAATATGGCTTCACAGAATCAATTAGGTTGGAAAAGACCTCTGATGGCATCAGGTCCAACTTTTGGCTTTCATCACCTGTCAAATGGACAGTGGCACTAAGTGTCACATCTGGTTGTTTCTCGAACCCTTCTAGGGAACATGACTCCACCACCTCCCTGGGCCGCTGGGCCCAGTTCCAATGCTTCACCACCCCTTCTGTGAAGAAATTTCTCCCAATGTCAGACCTGAACCTCCTGTTAAAGCCATTTCCTGTCATCCTGTCACCTGCTGCCTGGAAGAGCACATGGCTCCAACCTCCTTTCAGATGTAGAGAGAAGGGTCCTTCCTGAGCCTCCTTTTGTCCAAGCTGAGTCCTCCAGCTCCCTCAGCTGCTCCTCATCAGACTCATGCTCTGGACTCTTCACCAGCTCCACTGCTCTTCTCTGTACATGTTCCAGCCTCTCAGTGTCTTTCTTGAAGTGAGAGGTCCAAAGCTGGACCACCCTCTCTGTCCTGTGTCTTGTGTCTCCTATCCTCAGACCTCATTTGTGTTAGGATGAGAACAGGCCTATGGGTAAGCACAGAAAAACAGCAGTCATGGCAGAAAGTGGGGAAGAAAGTCCTTGGTGCATAATCCTACCTGTGTTCCCAGTGTACATCAGACAGCCTGCCCTGCCCTGCACCATCACAGTAAATCAGTTTGTTCTTCCATAACCCCTCTGATGGGATCAGCAAGGCACCATCCAGGCCTTAAGACTTAAATTGTATTTGAGAATAAATCTAAATTTAAGACAAAGCCTGGCCTATTTTATAGTAGGGATTATGTGATGTGGTGTCTGCAGTGGTGTGAGAAGTCTTAGCTCAGGAGGTCACTTCTCCAGTCTTCTGGATGTATTAACTCACATACTCAAGCCTCCCTGAATTAATTTGGAATCAAAGATCCTGCCTTTTCTATTTTAAATACAAGTGAAAGGATGTGTTCAGTTAAATGAAAAGGTGACATTTACATGGCTGGGTAGTCTTGTCAATCCTCTGTAAAATGTGATAAAAATCAGCATCTTTTCAGACACATTAATGCAGATTGGGATGACCTGAGCTCTGGAACTGTGATTGGGATAGCTCGTGCTTATTCCTTTTAAACACACTGTCCTATGAAACATTTGTCTCATCTGTCAGAGGGTAAACTTGAAATCCTGACTCAGTTTCATGCACTGAGATGTATTTTAGAGTGGAGGAGGGGAAGTGGAGGAGGAAAGATTACCATAAGCCTGCCTCCTGCAGACTTATTATCCCTCCAAGATCCACGGAGCAGGTGGAAAACTGCTGTTCCTGCCAAACCCTGAGCTACCCTGAGCTGACACACCTGAGCTGGTGGTGTTTGTTACTCCCCAGGCTGTCTGGACTGAACTCTTCTCTCTTCATGATTTGGTAACTGAGTCACTCTTCGAAGTGTAATATCCTTGTTACATCCATTTCTATTTCCCTGATACTTGTAGGTCATTTTTTCTGCTATAAATAATGTGTTCCAGGATTTCTCTTGTTTTAAATTCCATTTAGAGCAATGTCATC